TCCTTCATTTTGAGTCTGCTTTTTGCTCTAGCAAATCAGTGGTGACAATTTTGTCTTCTATTTCACTGGTTCTTTGTTCCATCTCTTCAACTCTGCTCATGTGTCCCTCCATCATGTTACAGCATCTGAAACATTGGACCTCATATTTTGCATAGTGGTTTCTTGTTTTTCCAGTGTTGCTAATACCTCATTTGTTTTCTCTGCATTGTTCTGGACTGTTGTGGTCTTTGTTTTGTGTTTTTTTTTTTGTTTTTTTTTATAGTTCTTCCTGTTTTTTGCTTGTAGTATCCTGTAATTCTTCAAGTTTCTCTTTCATCAGTTGAAAATATTCAGTCATTGTTCTTTTAAATTCTGTGTCAGAAAGTTCCATCAGACTTTCTGGCTTCAGGAAATCCATCGATACTGTGTCACCCTTTGGGGGTGATATCTTGCTTTGTGCTTGTGTATTCTGTGGGACAGCTTGCTTTCTTCGAGACATTGATATGTTCTTGATCTGAAGATAATGCTCTAGAGATCAGTTGGGTAGCTATCCCACTTGTGCTTTTTCTCTGAATGACTGACTCCAGAGAAATGTCAGTTCAGAGCCTGTGAGAGCAGCCTCTTATAGGTAAGATAGGTCAAGGTGCTCTGGATTAGAGGCAGGTTGATTAACCAGACATGTAGACACAGGAGTGGAGCCAAATGAGGTTGCAGCAATCACAAGGGCAGGTCAACCACTTGGGGGACCTCACTCAGGCCTCAGTTGTCTGGGTGTGCTTACAATTGGGGTCCCTATTCAAATTCCAGCTGTCCATCTCCCACCCAGTGGTTTTCATTCACTGGTCCCTGTCCAGTGGTGCTTACACAGTTGCCCTTGCACAGTGGCTCCTGCCCAGGAAGGCTCCTGGGTCCAAGAGGACTCAACAAGACGAGGTCAAATTCCCACCGCCCCAGTCGCCTCTGGCTGGTTTGCAGTGTCCACAAAAGTTCAGCAAAATTATCACTGGCCCACTACTTCCTGGGCAGTTGGCATGCTCCCCCCAGAGAGCTCAGCCAAATTCCCACCAGTGGCCTCACCCTTGGGAACTCTCCCAGACAATCGGTGGTGCCCAAGAAAACCCAATTAGGATCCTACCAGCCTTTCTCTGGCAGATCAGTCCCACAGCAGCTCGATTGGTGGCTTCAGACAGTGTGCCTTTGTGTGCTGACTCAGAATCGTACTGTCCATGGCTGTTGTTGTGCTGCGTGAAGGAGTCTGTAGTGGCCCTGGAGCACCGCCAGGAGGTGCAGGGTTGTGGTGAAGTCACCAGGGTGTGTCAGAAGTGTGGGGGCGTGAGATGGTGGCGGGGTGGTGTCCCTGGACATGGTGCTGTGGCAGGGATGGGGGTGCAGGGCTTGGGCAGCGCTGGGAGTTAGGGGTTGCAGTCTGTTCCCAGATATTAAGCTGCCAGTCCTCAGCAAATATAAATCATACTTTTAACTCAGAAATATCTTTTCAGTGGTAGGTGTATTTTTAAAGTATTGTTTTTTCGAATACCAAGACATAAAATTTCTTGCTAGGCTAGTTTATTTTAAACATTAAAAAAATAGCAAATTAAAAAGACTTCTGGGAAATCTGTTATAAAATTTGTTGTAAGTTTTATGAATTTATATCACAGTCATTTATACCTTTTTCAAATGTTTTTGTGTCAACTTTATGATATAGAAAAAAACAGATAAATGATAGACCATCCTTTATAGATACAGAGAATGAAGCATGGAATGAATGTATGACTTGACCAAGGTTACAGTGCTATTCAAAGAAAAGATTGAATTAATACAAAAATATTTCTTTTCTGAGTCCTTTAATTATGTTACCTTGGGTACAATATTTCATCTATATGCTAGCTTAAAAATAAAAATTCTTTATGACAGTTTAAGGGTAAATGAAAGTAATGCAAATAGAAATTCTCTGATAAAAGAAAGCAGATAACAAAATAGAATATGCTTTTTAAAGTATGATGCAGCCTTTACAATACATAGTGATTAAGAGGAAGGGTCAGTAAGGTTAGAATAAAATCCTAGCTTGGCCATCCATAAACCATGTGACCCTAGGCAATTATTTGATGTCCTTACATGTCAACATTATAATTTTTAAAAATCTATAAAATCAAAATAGTAACATTGGTCATGAAAAGTTGCAAGTATAAAATAATATAATATTTCTAAAGTGTTGTGCACAGTGTCTGGCATTTGTTAAGTACTCAAGAGCAGTTATTTTAATGAACTGTGTATTACATTTGATTAGACTGGTCTTTACAGCTTAATTATTAAGCTATAGACTAGTCTTAATACCTTAATTACTTTTTTGTTTTGTACAATGATAGTCAAAGCACAGTTGTTGCCTCAATCAAATAATGAGATTCAAAGAGCAAAAATAAATGTCCCAGTCCATCTCAAGTATCTTTTGTCAAACACCTGTTAAACCTTCTGAATTTCCCAAGCAAAAAAATCAAAACGATGATACTGAAATTCTCTTTCTGAATTTGTTGAACCTTGCAGTGCAAGTTTGAGGGATGTCACATTGCTTTTCATAATAAAGAGTCTTTTATAAGTAAATTATACAAATAAATTAGACTTATGGACTTACTTCTATGTTAAAGGGCCAGATTGATTTAAATGTTTGCCTTGTAAAGAGACTGAAGGAATTGATGGAATACCAATTGACATATTTCCACTACCAGGTTGTGCCAAGAAATCTAGAGGGCAGCTACCTGGCAAACTGACCAGAAGAGATCCATATTTATTCTACTTCCTCCCCCCAAAAATGGCCAAAGTTATTGAACAATATCACTAGTATCATATGCAAGCAAAATCTTGCTGAAGATTATCCAAAAACTACTGGAATAGTACATCAATAGAGAACTGCCAGAAGTACAGGCTGGGTTCAGAAGAAGCCATGGTACTAGGGATACTATTGCCAATGTCAAATGAATCTTAGCTTAAAGCAGAGAGTACCAGAAGAATGTTTGTTTGTGCTTTATTGACTATGCCAAGGCATTTGAGGGTGAGAATCACAACAAAAATAGAGTGCAGGGAAGATAAGAATCTTCAGTGGGGACATTTCAGCAGATAAGAGAATTCATTTTCATTAGATATTTGAAAAGAAAGCTAAAAAGGGTTAGGAAACAATCCAAAATTAAACTTTCTTACTTCACAATTCAGTTTAGTACTTAGAAGCCCAATAATTTGGAGTTCCAGGTCTTTTCAAATTTTAAGCCAGTCTTCAATATAAACACAAAAGCAGACTTGAATACTGATGGATCCTTAGTTCAACGATAAGAATTTTTATTTTACCCTTTGGTATTCTTTTCTTGAAACTTGGATTTGTACATAACATAAAAATTACATTAAGCATTTTCTACAATGTCAATTTTGAATAAACACGCTTTTGTCCTGTCTTGGGTTGTATCTTACCGGCTCTCCTTTTTCTCCTTTCTGACCAAGAGAACCTGGAGCTCCTGGCAATCCTGCTTCTCCCTTAAGTGGGTGGGGGAGATGTAATTTTGTGTTACAAAACATTCAATCATATTAATCTAAAGCCAAATTGCTATAAATATGAAGCTCACAATAAGCTAAAGCTTTTCTCTACTGGATTGTTCTACTTCCATTATTTGTAAGACTGACTACTGCTAACATTTTAAGATTTCATTTAACATCATCTTTTCCTGGAAATATTTCATTAACTTAGCTACATGTTACTCTTCCATGGCTTTCTGCACCTTGTACTTATTTTTCTCATAGAGCTTAAAACCCTATCTCTAGAGAAAATGGAAAGATCCTTGAACTTAAATAGCAGCTCCAGCTCCACTGATCCAACCAGAAGGTCGACTGTTAATATGTGTCAAATTTAAAAATACATTCTAGGTCTCAATGTGAAGGAAAAGTTTTCTCTGGGAATTGAGACAACCCTCTTCTCCTTGTGTATAAGCTTAAAGGAAGATTAAGAAGCTACTTAGCCTTCTAATACTATAGGGCCTATCAGTATCATTAAAGAAAAAGGTAAAGACTACTGAATATACCATGGAATGCCAAAAGGACAAACAAATCTGTCTTGGAAAAAATGTAGCCAGAACTAAGATGATGAGATTATATATCACATTCTTATGCATGTTATGAGGCAAGCTAAATCCCTGGAGAAGGAGATCATGCTTACAAAAGCAGAGGGACAAGAAAAAAACATGGCCCTCAATTAAATATATTAACATGGTGACTCCAAAAAGGGACTGGAACACAGGAGAGATTGTGAGGCTAGCAAAGATCAGACAGGGTTTCATTCTGTTATATAGAGTCACTATGAGTTAGAGTTAGGTGTTGATCAACTGATCAACACCTAACAATATCAACTAAAAAGAACACAAAAGTCCATAGACAGAGTTCACCTGACTAGCAACATATTAGTACAGATGAAGCAAATTCTCAAGAGTTAAAGTCCCTGTCTCTATTCTTCATGTAATTTGTACCAGAGGAAGGGAGCTATTTAGAAATCTAGGATATTGAATAAATTCAGTCTCTATACAATAAAGACATATTTTAGAGAATCTTTGTGCATATTTTTTTCCAAGAGTAAGTACTGTGTCTCTCCAACTGTGAATTACCAGAACTAATATCTATTCATGGAATTCATTAAGTCAAATAATTTATCTATTTACTCTATTTCATCCCTTAGAGAGGAGTTCTAATGGGTTCACAATTATTAAGGTAAAGACCCAGGAAACTCTCTTCCCAATCCCTTACACTTTACCTACCCTAGTACTGAGTGACTAAAGAATTTGATTGAACTAGAATCCCAAATCTGGACACACGCTGGGTACAGAAGCCACATTCACGGAGCTGAGCTGTCATACCTTGTTTGGAATGCACTGGCACTGGTCTTTGAGTTCCTTCTTTGATGGCATGTATGCTGACACTTTACTGGCTTGAATGGTTATTGATGATGATGATGCTGTGCTTCCAAAGTCATCCTGATCTGGACACTAAAATTAAAAAGAAAATTTAGAAAATATGCCCAATTAAACATTCTGGCATTCCCATCATTAGCTCCTACCAAATGAGCAACAGATGAAGTTATTGGCAAAAACTCCCTTCTTACTAATCAAAAGGAGACAATGAGATGTCACTTATCATATGTTTTCTCTTTCACAGAATCACTCTGTTGTTTTAATACATGGACAACACAAAAGAAATATATTTTAAAAATATGGCTTTAGTAATGAATTCTATCATATCAGATGACTAGTTATGACAAGTAATACTAACAATTTATAATAACTGTATTGTTACAGTAAAATAATGTCTATAAATAAATGAATATTTATATTGAATAAATAAATATATAAGTATATTTAAATAAGTAAACATATGGACACATCTTATAGGAACAAAAATTAAAAGCAATTAATTTGAACTTTAAGATATAGTATACTTCAATAAGATGGTATGGTAAAGACATGTCAAGTATTAATTTTTTCCAGTTGTAGATGATACTTAAACCTTTTTCTCTTTCACTGTCCTTTAAAAATTTTAAAATGTTTTCAACTTCATCACAACTAAATGGTTAATTTTATACTTATCCAGTGGATTTAGAACATTCTGATTAATATGAAGCTTAATTCTAATGCAATAATTTTTTAAATTATTTTTTCTCAAAATAATGAATCCAGATTTTAAGAGGATAAATGCATTGTTTCTTCTTAACATCATTTACTAGATATTTCATTGTGGTCTATAACTCAGAATTTGCAGTTTCACAAAGGGAAAGAATAAGAGAACAAATTCACATGTTACTTGGTATACTACAGATCATATTACAGGTAAAAATATTACAATATAAAAGTAAACTCTTATTTGTGGTTATCTGATGAGATCATGGTTTGTATTTAGTTTTTTCTTTGCGTAACTGGATTTTTCAAGTTTTCTATAATAAGTGTAATTCTACAGCAAAATTTTTTCTGAAAAAAATAAGTAGCATTTTAATGTTTGTAAAAATTAACAATAAAAATGGGGGGAACTGTAACAAAAATAGCACCCATAAACACTAGTTTCCTATGTTTACTTCTAGGTTTGGGATTTTTTTTCTCTCCCCCACATCTGCTCACTTCACGTTTAATGATTAGCTATTTTGTTATTTTAATACATGCAATTCCATAACTTCATAGATGAGTGACATAAAATAATACCGTAAACACTTCATTTCTCTCACATGATTCAATAACATGATTCACCTAATTTTGCTCCACCAGTTTTCACATCGACATGCAAGAATTATTTACTGTTAACAATTTTGCTCTGGACTTACATATTAACTTGGAGGTTTAAACAATTTATCTCAGATAAAGAATATATTTCAGATCTTTCTATAAAACTGTCCACATTCTCAAAAAAGTAGGTAGTGAATAGTTAATAAAAAAAAAACCCAAAGCACACAAACCCCCCAAAATCAAACAAAAAGCACAAGTAAGGATTTTTCCTATTGTAAAAGCTCTAGTTTACTGAAATAGTTATCATCTGAAATATAGCAAATGCACTTAGCTGGCACTTGAATAATTTCCCTCACAAATTATATATTTCCATTTGTAAGATATTGCATACCTCCATTTTCTATTGATCATTAAATTAATAGAGATGACCCCTTAATGTTATCAGCTATGCTATCTTTTCATGTTTTCTCCATAGTTGGGGATGAATTTTCTAAAATGACTTAAAAATAATCTATTGTAAACAACTTGCCTCTGGAAACTCTATGAACTTTGAGAAACGATAGTTATAGAAAGTCTTCAGGTCTTTTGTTCATAGTGTCACTATGAATCCTGCTCAACGAGACAACAATCAACAATTATTACAAAACATTTAAAAAATTATTTCAAAAAATGTGAGGCCGTGTCATTACTCTAAATCCAAGGCAACGAAAATATGACTTTGAGTCTATCCCATCTGAATTTCAGAACCACCTCAGGAACATGTTTGAGGCTTTGAACACTAATGAGCGAAGGCCAGATGAGTTGTGGGAGGATATCAAGGGTATCATCCAAGAAGAGTGCAAACGGTCATTGCAAAGACAGAAGAGGAAGAAAAGACCAAAATGGATGTCAGAAGATACTCTGAAAATTGCACTGGAGTGCAGAGAAGCCAAAGCACAGGGAAGAATTCAAGATACTAAAGAGTTGAATGTTGCCAGGAGAGACGGGTCCTTGGAGAGGGACATCATGCTTGGGAGGGTGGAGGGACAGTGCAGGAGGGGAAGACCCTCTATGAAATGGATTGATTCGGTGACTGGGGTAATCGGGATGGGTGTGTCAGAGGCAGTGCGGTTGGCACAGGATAGAGCAGAGTTTAGGGCTGTTGTGCATAGGGTCGCTGTGAGTCGAAAACGACTCGACGGCGGCACATAACAACAACAACAACAACAAAGAGTTGAATAGAAGATTTCAAAAGGCAGCATGGGATGACAAAGCAAAATATTACAATGAAATGTGCAAGGAGTTGGAGTCAGAAAATCAAAAAGGCCGAACTCGCTCAGCATATGTTAAGCTCAAGGAACTGAAGAACAAATTCAAACCTCGAGTTGCTATAATCAAGGATGCTTTCGTCAGAATGTTAAATGATCCAGGAAATATTAAAAGAAGATGGAAAGAATATACTGAGTCACTGTATCGAAAGGAATTGGAAGACACAGAAGAATTTCATGAAACAACATGTGAGCAAGAGCCTATGGTGATGAAAGAAGAAGTTCAGGCTGCTTTGAAGGATATGGCAAAAAATAAGGCTCCAGGAATAGATGGTATACAAATTGACATATTTCAGTTAACAGATGCTGCCCTGGACGTGCCCACCAAATTGTGCCAAGAAATCTGGAGAACGACCACTTGGCCAACTGACTGGAAGAGATCGATATTTGTTCCTATCCCAAAGAAAGGCGACCCAACCGAATGTGGAAACTACAGAACAATTTCACTGATTTCACATGCAAGCAAGATTTTACTGAAGATTATCCAAAAATGACTGGAACAGCACATCAAGAGAACGACCAGAAGTCCAGGCTGGGTTTAGAAGGGGTCGTGGTACTAGAGATATTTATTGTAGCTGATGTTAGATGGATCTTGGCTGAAAGCAGGGAATACCAGAGGAATGTCTATCTGTGTTTCATTGACTATGCAAAGGCATTTGACTGTGTAGATCATAACAAACTATGGCTGACTCTGAGAAGAATGGGAATCCCAGAACACTTGATCGTTCTAATGCGAAACTTATACTTGGACCAGGAGGCAGTTGTCAGAACGGAGCAAGGGAACACTGCATGGTTCAAAATTGGGAGGGCGTACACCAGGGATGCATCCTATCTCCATACCTTCGCAACCTATATGCAGAACAGATTATCCGGGAGGCTGGGCTCTATGAGGAGAAATGTGGGGTCAAGATTGGTGGACGATTTATCAACAATCTGCATTATGTGGATGACACAAGCCTGCTTGCTGAAACTGAAGAGGACCTGAAGCACCTGCTGCAGAGTGTCAAGGACTGCAGCCTACAATATGGATTGAAGCTCAATGTCAAGAAGACAAAGATTCTCACCACTGGACCAATTGGCAGCATCAGGATGGATGGTGAAGAGATTGAGATTGTACACAGCTTTAGTTTGCTTGGCTCCATAGTCAACAGTCTTGGCACCAGCAGCCCGGAAATTTAAAGGCGCATTGCCATGGGAAAGTCTGCTGTTAGGGACCTCTCCAAAGTACTGAAGAGCAATGGTGTCTCTCTGGAGACTAAGGTGCATCTGATACAGGCCATAGTCTTCGCAATCACTTGTTATGTATCAGAGAGTTGGACAATGACCAAAGAGGATAAAAGGAGAACTGATGCCTTTGAGCTGTGGTGCTGGAGAAGAGTATTGAGAATACCATGGACTGCTAGGAAAACAAACAGATTTGTCCTGGAAAGGGTTAAACCGGGTGGCTCCTTGGAGGCAAGGATTCTGAGGCTCCGTCTAACATACTTTGGACATGTTGTGAGGAGAGACCGGTCCTTGGAAAGGGACATCATGCTTAGAAGGGTGAAGGGACGGCGCAGGAGAGGAAGGCTCTCTATGAGGTGGATTGATTCAGTGATTGGGCTAATTGGCATGGGAGTATCGGAGACAGTGCGATTGTCACAGGACAGAGCGGAGTTTAGGGCTGTTGTACATAGGGTCGCTATGAGTCGCAGGTGACTCGATGGCACATAACAACAACAACAACCATCAAAATTCGATAATTTCCTCAAAATTTGGGTTGAAATGTCTGCTATTTAATGACAAAACAACAAAAACTTGTCAAGATTCGATAGATATCCCCCAATTTTCAAATAATTGCTTAAACTTCTTTACTTTTACGAAAAATCTACAAGAATACCTGTTTTATAAAACACAAAGGTATACAAATGTTTGTTAAAAAATAATTTGTGGGAGGTAATGGAAATGGGAATGATTTGGTGTGTATCTGAAAAGACAGGGCAATGGTGGGCATATTTCAATGTTGATTAATTTTACAAAATGCAATTAAACTGAATAATTGTATGAAATACAATGTGAATAAAGGATAGTATGAAACACAATGACGAACTTTGTAAGCAAACCTATATAAAATAAAAATTAAAAAAAAAACCCTCACACATATAAAGAATGTCTTGGGAGCTCTGGTGGCTTACTGGCAAGAAGCTGTGCTGCAATCCTGAAGATGTGTGGTTCAAATCCACCAGATGCTTTGCTGGAGAAGGAGTGGCATTCTCCCCCTGTGCCAATCAGATCCAATCCACAGTACATAACAACAAAAAAAAAAAAGGATGCCTTTTCCCCCCTCTTTTTACTAAAAGAAATACAGAGAGAATTTTCACTTTCTGATGGTGAAAATAGTATTTTGTTTGTATTGCAGCAAGCCATTAACAAGATAGCCTGCACCCTGAGTGGCAACAGCAGTGTCCCTAAGTTCCTTTCCCAGAAACTAAGCATCTCAAAATTAAGCCAGCCTAGTTTTCAATCATATTTATTAATACTGAAAGTTAGTATTATTTTACGTTTTATGTGTTAGTTGGTATGACTTGGTAAGTTATTTTGGGGGTCTAGAAATACTAAAAACATCTTTCCATATTAATTAATGGTTACTGGGTCTCTGTTCCTATCACTCTGACTTATAAGGATTTCACAAGAATGCTCTATTTTTCAATAGTGGAGTTGTTCTATAATATATAAGCATGTAAAATATTATTATATGTTATCTTTAAATCAGAGTGATTAATTTATGAACCTTACAGCAAAACCACATAATTATTTTAAGAAAATAAAAACAAAACTAAAAAAAAAAAAAACAACAAAAACCTTTGGTGAATCAACAGCTTCATGATTTAAATATGTGGCTCCAGGAAGTCTAGATATTTCAAGTCTGTAGATTGGCATTTTAAATTATCTTTTTAGGTATTTATAGAAAGGTATTTGGCTGCCTTTCATTTTGTTTGCAATGAACGTCATAAAATTAGGTGGAGCTATGCTTTGCAAAGCTGTTACATAAGCAAAACATGTAACACTGGAAAGACAGCTATGCATTGAATCTGTTGGGTACATTCTTATTCCACTATTATTGCAAAAGCTAAAAATAGATTTTGGTCACTACATGATTGATGAAACGTCCATATTTTTTTCATAATAGTAAGATTTTAGGAAACCAAAGATACAAATAAAATGGGGGTGAGTGGGTTGCTCTTTATTTTTCTTTTAAAAGTGATTTTAAAATTTGACCCTTTCAACAATCTTTCCATCCCACATATCTATAGCAGTTGATGAATCAACCAACCAAAAGCCTAAGTTTTGGCTATCGTCAATGAATACAGCCTTAATACTAAAAAGGAAATGTATTGAATTCTCTTTTTTTTCAAGTAAAGTAAAATGCAGTTCAATAATTAAAAAAAAAAAGTATCATAAGATGGCATCCCTGAACATCACAATGAAAGACTTAGAAAACACTGACTTAATGATTTTTCTTGAAAAGAAAGTATCCATAGATATTTTTGGGTTTCCAGGGACAGTAAATTGCACAGGAAGAGATTTCTCGTCCTTCTCTGGTGGAGCAGCTGGTGGATTCAAACTCCATGCCTTTGCAATTGTAGCACAGCTTCTTACCAGTAGGCCTTTGTTATCATTTTTAAGTGCCATTGAGTCATAGACAACTCATAGCAACCTTATGAATTAAAGACCTGAGCACTTGTATAACTTTCATCATTTCTCCAAGTTCATAGAGTTTCCAGAGGCAAGCTATTTTTGGAAGTGGATGCCACTCCTACTTCCAAGCTTGTTTTTTTTCAGGGAGCTCCACTAAATACTGTCCACCATGGATAATCATTATCACATTTGACACATCAGTGTCAGAGTGTGCAGCATCACAGCAACCCTTAAAGCTCCCATATTAGGCCAGAAATAATTAGAATGAGAAGAAAGAGTTCTGTTGCTAATAGGGAGTCACCAAAGGCTTTGAGAATGAGATGAATAAAGGACAGAGCATATACCTAATTTGGGTTTGTTAGTTCTTTTCCTGAACAGTGTCTGGAAGACCAATATTTTTTAATTATAAATACTCCTAGGAAAAGCAAATATATACACAAAGTAGTGTTTCCGGGACTTATTCTGGTTATATTAGGAGGAATCGGGCTTGAGCTAGGACAGACAGTAAAGAGGATAAGGCAATAATTTGGGCATAAGGTAAAAGTAGACCACTGTAAAAAGAAGAAAGGAAGATATGGATGAAAAATCCATCACACAGATCAATGAGCCAGAATAGTTTACAACTATAAAACTAAAATTAGTGAGAATGAGGTATGCTCAAAGATTAAAAACTCTATGGCTGAAGAATGATGATTCCACTGTCAGAAACAGAATATAGTTAGGGAGAAATTAATAAATTTTCTTTTCATTCAGTTCAATGAGGTGGTACTATATCCCTAAACTTAAAGAAGAAAGAATACAGGGACTCAAACCACTGAAAATCTAGAGTCTTAAATGAATTCTCGTACTTGGAATGAAATACTCATCTGGTTTCAACAGTGAAACAGGAGTGGCATCCTCTTCCTAAAAACTTACCTCGGGGAAACTCTATGAACTTTGATAAATGCTGATAATTGTAGAAGGGCTTCAGGCCTTTGGCCATAGGGTCACTATGAGTCATGTTTCACTTGAAGGCAATCAACAACAATTCGGTGCTTACTCTATACAATGTATACAACTAAAATATAATTTAGATGCTTCATTACTCATAAACCAAAAGATTAACTTACCTTCATACCCGATATTTCACAACATGTTTCTTGAGCTACAATATTTGAGTTACAGTAGATAATAAGTCGGTGGAGTTCAATCTGTTAAAAGATTAATAGGATACAGCTTCAGTTTACAGAGTTTTAAAGAATGCTATTTAAGCTTTTATTAAATATATAATTTAAAAGGAAAACAGAAAGCTAAATAAATCACTGGTAGATTATATAATATTTTTTATTTATGGTTCATTGAGTTTTAGCACTTTTCAAAAATAAAGCTGGAATTTATTTTTTTTAATTTTGAAGATAGAACTACAAGAAAATGAACCCACAATGTAAGAATTATTTCAAAGTAAAATCTCCAGAAAAATGTCAAAAGGATGAGCTGCACTTTCATTTTTTTCTATTTAAGGCATTAAAGTAGATATACATTCCTCAACAAGAAAAAAAATATTTAATTTGTACCTAAGTTTCATGAATTCTGTTTAAGATCAATGGATTTCATATTACACAGGTTTAACACCGACCAAGACTTAAAGCCTTTAATAAAAATAATTGATTCTTGATATTTGTTCAGCAGATTAACATTTTTTGGCATTTAGATATGGAATTAAAAATACTTCAAAAGAAATATAATCATTTCTTTAAATATAAGATCTAACTACTAGCCAAGAGTAAATAAACAGTGTGTACTATTGATAAAATGTGAATTATAGATGCTTACCTAGGTATTTCACATTCCTTGAAGTGTCAAAATGCATTAAATAATGCTTTCTACATGTAGTTATTGATGAGGACTATGAAATTAGTTTTTATTTTCCAATTTAATTATTTAATTGAATAACAATAATTTTACAGATATGATATAACATATCATATAGATTGAAACAACATCTTTCTTCTCCCTTTCACTTCTTTGTCCCCAGGGTAACATTGTAATAGAATATGCATTACTATAAGGCAAATCAAGTACTTCCTACAGAGAATACAATTATGTCATATATTAGAATAATTAAACTTATGATAATAGGACAAAAGAAATCTGTTAATCTCTATCCCAAATCTCTAACACCAAAAAAGTAAGAAGAAAGGAGGAAAAAAAATCATATTTTGTAACAATTAACAAAGTCAATTTTCACATAGAAAATATTAGAAAATTGAGAAATCTCGTGAATTTATGAACAGTCTAAGTGTTTCACCCATTGAAAACTATAAGACTAAATGAAATGCAATGATTTGTTTTATGACATTTTCTTGATACTGTTACTGTTCTTATGTGCTTCAGAGCTGTTCAAAAGCTAACCCTCTAGACGGTTTTCAGAGAAAACATGCATAGAAGGAGACTGCCTATCTTTCTCCCATGGAGGAGCCAGTGGATGTGGATTCAAACCATGTAACCTTGTGTTGGTAGTGCAATTTCCTTTCTTTCTAAAGTTTAAACTGTCTGATGAAACACAAGCTAGTAGTGTACAAATTATATAAAAGGAAGGGTAGAATTTAAAATTAATTTGTATTCCTCTCAGCAAAAACTTTCTATTTATAATCAACACTCTTTACTAAAAAAGCCCAAAAAACAGTAAGGACACATTGGAATCCTACTATAACACTTATTCTGTTAGGCTCTTTTATATGACTTATTTTGTTGTTGTTGTTGTTATGTGCCATCGAGTCGTTTCCGACTCATAGCGACCCTATGCACAACAGCTCTAAACCCTGCTCTATCCTGTGCCAACCGCACCGCCTCTGACACACCCATCCCGATTACCCCAGTCACCGAATCAATCCATCTCATAGAGGGTCTTCCCCTCCTGCGCTGTCCCTCCACCCTCCCAAGCATGATGTCCCTCTCCAAGGACCCGTCTCTCCTGGCAACATGTCCAAAGTATGTCAGACGAAGCCCCAGAATCCTTGCCTCCAAGGAGCAGCTTGGTTTAATCCTCTCCAAGATGGATCTTTTCCTGGCAGTCCAGGGTACATTCAGTACCCTTCTCCAGCTTTACTTAAGATAAATTATCAACTTTAAAGCTCCATCTCATATACTTCAGGCATGTTGCCAGGAGAGATCAGTCCTCGGAGAAGGACATCATGCTTGGAAAGGTGAAGGGACAGCACAAAGAGGGAAGACCCTGGATGAGATGGATTGACACAGTAACTGAGATAATTGGGTTAGGTGTGTTGGAGACAGTGAGACTGGCTCAAGATAGGGCAAGGTTCAGAGCTACTGTGCATAGGGTCACTATGAGTCACAGGAGACTCAAAGGCACAGGCACATAACAACCACAATAACAACAACAATGGGTTAGAAGCTAATCAAGTAACCATGACATTGAAATGCCAATCAGTATAGTTTTATTGTTTTTATTTATTTATTTATTTATTAGTTATTTTAGAACCCTTCACTGATACAGCAAGTAACAGGATCACATTTAGGGCAAAGACTTTATGGATACTTGACAGTGAAGATTTACCTGTCAATATGCAATAATAAATGAATATTTATTTTACAAAAGTGGATGGGGGAGATAAGAGAAGTAAATGTGCAACAATAAAAGTGGATGGGGGTGATAAGAGGAGTAAATGTGCAACAATAACATTTTTAAATAAATGGAAAATTTTCACACAACAGGGCTTATTAGTTGGAGAGCTTGTCTGGGAGAAAGTGAAAAATTTATTCACTAGTTTTAACCAGACCAAAGATCTTCAAAACAAAATACACATTTGTGTTTTGCGTTTAACCTAAAATAGTAGCTATTTTTAAACTTACTTTTATTGGTTTGCATACAATCATTCATATACATTGTATTTCGTGCATGTACATTGTGTTTTACACAATCTTTCACTTGCACTGTATTTTGTTCATCTATGTTGTGGGAGGTTTTGCCCTCTTTACAAACATCTTACTAATAACTACATTGGTCAAAGTACATTGGCCAGCTACTTCATGCCTCAGGCTTTATCCCCATTTTAGATAGCCAATTTCTGATTTGCCCATTCCTATCAAACCAATAATCTAAGGAAACAAACATTCTTCTTTTGCTGAGAAAACTTCTGTTAATTTTGAAAACTTTGAGCATCTACATGTAAGTAAAGCCCAGTTCAGAGCAAGCCATCAAGTTGCAGCAATCCACACTAGCTCACAGCATGGACCATCTTCATTTCCTTTGGTTGGATTCTGATCAAGACACCCCCAGCCATCTGTGGCTTGGTTCAAATGAACATCAATCACAAACTGAGGAGTCCACACTTAATCTTGTATTCCTTAGGAGCTTGTCCTTCACTCAGCCTTAGCTCCCACCTAGGGAAAAGTCAACAAGCCAGGGGCCCTCACGGCTGCCAGTTCCTCAAGCCAGCAAAACCTTTTTTGCTTATCCATACATCTATGAATTCTAAATGGACAACCGTGCAAGCTCAGCCTGTCTCTTCACTGTTACAGGCCTCTACCTAAACAATTACTTCTCTTAAAAAGATACACCAACATTTGCACCATTTTATATTCCTTTAATTTTCTCTTCAAATGAATTGGGATTTTCCACCAGTATACTACCATAAATTCTACATTAAAATCTTTTCACAGCAATGCACATGCCATTCTTTAGTCTCAAGTTCTGTAACAAGTTCATACCATGCATGCAAAGTTAGTAAGACACATTCAGAGGTTGAACTCTGAATATTGTTCTTCCAGTAACTACCCTGCTCTACTCATGATTGAATCTCAGTATGGTCTTGGTTCTTATATTCTAGAACCAGGGTCCATGTTTCTCTCCCCAGTCTTATAAAACTCCAAAACTATGTCATGGTCCCCTCTGCTCTTATTAGAATTCCCTGAAACTGACTTACTATCTTCCAACACTTTACCTATCGATGAAAGTCACAAACCCTAATTTCTTTTCTTTTTTTTTTTTTTTTTGGACAGGTATAACAAAGAATTTATTATCATTTGCAGATGAAATAAATGCACCATCTCATACTTGGAAGGCTTTAATAAGCCTTAAGCATTTTTCAGGTTGTACCAAGGCACCACCGCTGCCTAGTTATGAATCCACTTCTAACAAAGATACTAACACTTTCCTCAACATCAGTTCTGCACTGCTTCCGGTTTATTATACAATTCCAAAACAGCACTCTTTAGTCATCATCTTCCTCTTCTTCTTCCTCCTCTTCAGAGCTATCTTCAAAGCCCTCACTGTCCTCCTGGTCTTCATCTTCTTCTATTGTTGTGTCCCATTGTGAATGAATTTGTGGCACAGCCTTAGCCTCATGAACTTCCAACTTCAATGGTTTAATCTGATCCAAACCCATATAGGAGTCTGATCTCAGAAACACTATATACTGATAATTTCCAGGTTTGCCTTGTGTAGGGAACTTTAATTCTACCTCTTCAGTATCTTTTAGTGTACACACATGATATGGCATAGATATTAATGTCTGTTCCTTCCTGTCAGCAATATAAAGCCACCACCATTCTTGCTTTTCCTCAGGAAAGTAAAGACTGTAAACAGGATGTGTTATCTTTGATTTGGTTTCCAGCAGAGCCCTCTCCTTTCATTGCATACTTTGTTGCAATTCTTGCCATTTTGCTTCATCATCTTTGTTTTGCTTTTCACCTTGCTCTCTATCAGAGTCTCTGTCACTCCCATCATCTTTTTCACTTTGAGAATCTCTATTGGTTTCATCTTCTTCGGAGTCACTGCCTTTATCAGATACTTCTTCATCATCTTCCTTTACTATAACAAACCCAATTTCTTACTTGCTGGTACCCACATCTTCTTTGTGCATTCAGAAGACACTTTCTGGGACCACTGCTCTACTTCATCCAGTCTGTCTAGTACTGATATTGTTACTATAACTAATGACACTATTATGACCTCTCTAATGGAACTCTGGAAGTGTACTGGATAAGGAGCAGCATTGCCAATCCAAAAGGAGGCCCTTAGAATCTATTGTTCATGGGATAAAGATGGACAGTCTCCTTCTGTGTGATTTACAGCCTCTGAAACCCCCCTGGAAGGTCAGCTGTGAGTCAGTTTCAACTTGATGGCACATAATAACAAGAAAAGTCTACTGGGTAAGGAGTTGTACTGCCAACTCAAAACCAAGTGTTT